ACTGACCGCTCTAGGTATCTTGGTGGCGCTGCGGGTAAAGACTCCGGCCACGCTATCAGCTTCAAAGAGCGCCTGACCAGCGATGGAAAGCCAATTTACTGTGCACCCGTTAAGAAATACCGAGATGGTTGGAACGCAGGTATACCTCATGACACGGTGGCCATCGAATTCACCGACGGCGCTGGCTGGGGCGCCGCTGTGGGCCTGACACAAAATGGAAAGCCCTGGCAGAATCTGGTTCGCCTTGCCGATGGCTTTACGCTCGGTGGTGTTCTACACGAGCTTGGTCACGTACTGGGTAAGACTTCATCAGCGACCGCAGACGACGATCCTAACAATCACAAGGCATGGCGCATGAACACAACCGCAACGACCGCGAAAAGTACATCAAAGTACAATACAAGCAGCTCGCCGACTGGGAAGACGTAAGTGACAACCACTATCATTGACACATACCGCATATTGACATCACCAACCCAGTGCTGGCACCGCGCCCGCCAAGCCGAAGGCGACCGCATCACCGAAGACGGCCTCTGCCTATCCATGTACCGCGCTCTGAAGTACCAATGCACCTGCGTCGCCTTCATCAAGAACTTTGTCGAGCCTGGCTGGCCCATCCAAGCTGCCTCTGGCTACGACCTCAAGAGCGTCATGCACTATCCTAGTCGCAACGGCTATGCAAAGCCAGATTGCAATGACAATGGTGTGGACTGTCCCATCCAGGCCTACATCGACTGGAATGACCACGGCGAGGGTCTTGCGCTGTTGGAACGCGCTACGAAGCCGAGCGAGATGGATATCATTTGGGTTAAGCAGAATTACCCTTGGAATGTGGATGCTTGAGTGTTGGGTGTAGAACCAGTCACCTTCGACGCGTTTAGAGGTTGATAGAATGGTGCATGATGGCTAGACTTATCGCCGCACCGAGACCTCTTTGATGGGGTGTTTCAACTGGTGCACCTGATAGGAAGCAATACATTACCCATCACGAAAGCGCGACAATCAAGAATGATACAAGGATAGAGTACACCGTTCTTATCGGAATATGTAACGGCCGCTTTTTCGTCCGTGAATCTGGCGTTCACATTACCGTACCGTGGCTCGCCAGAGTGCATCCATCAGTCAGCTTGCAGAGCCGCATCGAGGCGGTGCACTTGCCAACCCTCAACAAGACGACCGCAGCCTGCAGCAACCGTTCACCCGGAACTCTCTTGTGTCGCACGAACATCAGTGGCTTGCGCAGCCACATGAAAAAGTTTTTCACTTCGTCTGTGTTTCAGAAGCTATCCGGTGCTCTGTCGCGCTGACCGGTGGGCATGCAGCAACCTCTTCTCAAGACAAGGATCGTTGCATACATGGAGTGCAGAACGCATGCGTTCGGGCTGACATACATCCAGCGAATGAGAAGGAGCAACGTGTGAATGATGCAGCGGTCGAGTGGATTTGTCGGTGTTCCTGAAGCTGTCTTGTGTAAACGGTCAGCAGGGACCGTGGGATAGTATTACACGTCAAAGCCTGCGACGGAAAGGCGTTGACCATCGTACATGCGCTGGATATTTAGGGAGCACGGAGCGAATGAGAGCGAGCAACGTGTGAACGATGCAGCGATGGAGCTGAGTGGTTGCTGTTCCTTAGAGGTCAATATAGACCGCCGGAAAGTATTACACATCAAAGACTTCAACGCTCCGACCATCATGCGTACTTCGATTGAATGCGTTGGGTGGAGGGCCTTGTCGTGGTAATGGAGGAAGGTGCATACCTGAGTGTCGACCAGCGCTTCCTCGCACCTGCTGTCGCCTGGACCATGGCCCCATCGCAATTTGGACCCCGCACGTACGACAACCCCAGGAAAGCATCGCCGTATATGCGACAAATTTACGACGATATAACACTCGGTATCGGCGGTTGTAGCGCTCCACCATCCTAATACTGCGTCAGTGAGGAAGGAGCCGTGGCGTTATTCGCCAAAATGCTGACTGCAGCTCCTTCGGCAGCTAGCTTGTGGCATAGTCCTTTGCAGCTCCGTATCACCTCGATAACGCAGGACGCCGGTGTGCAGCCGCTCCTTGTCCATTTGTAATGCGGAGAAGAGAGAAGTTTTCGGTCCTGCTGAAGGCTGCCGCCGCGAAGGGCACTGGCAAGGGACACAGCTCAGCGACAGTCAGTTCATGCCCGTGTAGCTTACCATTCCAACTCGCTTGATAAGCGATTGGGAGGATTATGCATACTGTCGTGCGCATTGCCCAAGCGTCGACATGAAAGACAAACCCTCGCCATGCCATCCCATTTTACTGGCTCGGTGAAGGTCGAAAAGGGTTCGATCGAGTAGTATTACCAATGTTGAAGGCATTTGCATGCCGTAACACGACGCGTACCCAGCTGTTGGCTTTTGGGGGCCGCATGCGAATGCGACAGCGTGAAGTCACGTCGCACACATCTGGCCCGTGTCATCGAAGTTGCTCGCCCAAAAGCTCCCCGGCCGATCCTGGGCCCACTACTGTACTACTCCAGGAACGCTGTGGCACATCTTACACCGATCAGCAAGTTTTATTCCTTTTATGGTCTGGTTTGTGGCTAGTGGGGTGCGCCTTACAGCCTGCGCTACTCGCGCCCAGCATCTACGTATACCTCGTTTGATGAGACGGCATGGCAGTTCACCCGCCGATCGGAAGGACCGCCTCCTGTCTTTGGAATTTTGACTGGGCTGCGCGTGCAGGTTGCACACGATGACCAAGAAAGGCCAAAAAGCTGCAGGATGATGAGGAAACACTGTGAGAGTACGAGAAAAAGAAAGCATGAGCATGGTTTACTCGAAGGTGGCCCCTGCGGTCAGCTACCCATACCGACCACCGTCAGGTGTTTCTGAGGGTTGCCCGTACCTCCTCGGTTTGTACGCGCTGTCAAATTCACCCACATCGCTTGGCGCGCTTGCGCGTTCGCAATCTCTTGCTTGAAGTTGCGCGAGATGGTAAGACGCCGTGGTAGAAATGGGGGCGGATGAAGGAGACTTCGTTGGCTGGCCCTGACTAGCGACGCCGTGAGACGCACGCAGAGAGAGCCCTGGAGGGCTGCAGCCCCGCGCTTGCCGCTCTGCCAGCGACTCGAGGCCCACGCGTTCCGTGCTCGAAAACCCGTTGACGTATATCGCATGCACATCAAAGGAGTCGCGATGCGCAGCAGCCGACAATGCGCAAGATTCAGCCCCCCGATCTTGTGCGTTTCTCCTGCAGCGCTCCGCCGGTGAGGTTTTGAAACGGGCTACCAGAACTTCGCAACACGCGGCTCGGCAACATCACTACGCCCGACCATCACCCACGCCTATCAGGAGGCGCACCCGTCTATCTTACGCGAACCATCCCCAGCTCCGTGCAGGGCTCACAGCCATCGCAGCTGGGATGTGAGTTCACCTTCACAGCGGATCTGACGCTTTTGCCGGTCGGGTGGGCTTGGCTAACCTACCTACCCAAGGACCGCTTCTGAATGCGCTATGGTCAACCGCTCATTCGGGAAAGGGCATATGCCTTGGTCGTGAGGCTTCAACATGGCCGTGAAGACGGCCGCGGTGACAGTCATAAGTGTGCCATGGACGCGTATGCGCAATACCTTCTTGCTCATTTCTGCGGATATACTGACTTGCTCACTTGCCAACTTCGTTCTCACCTTGCACATCAATACTATATAGTCGCCTTGTACATCGAATCCTCTCTCGACAGCTATTTCACCTTGGTACTCTATCCCAAGAAGAGACTACATAAACTCGAACACTCAACACATTCTCACACAGACATCGTTCATCCATCCACCTCACTACACTCGACTACCGCCCAACTTCCAAAAATTGACGCCCAACCACATCCAAACTCCATCCAAGATACCCGCCACCGTGGACCATGTCTCGCAACAGTAAGTCAGCTTACCGTCCCGTCCACATCTCCGACATCTTTCCTTCTCCGACACCAGCGAGCTGCGCCTCGGCTCAGCCCACCATACCCCATACGGCCTAGCGTACCGACACATCCGCACCTTCCCCTGATGCATTTCCCAACTTTCTCGATCTCTCAGCTGACCCACCTGTTCCCAGCCTATCCCTACGCCGTCAAGCTCCCGTTCCGGCGCTCACTCGCCTGCATCGGCATCCCAAGTCATCGCGACGCGCTTGCCATTTACTTCCACTGGGTGCGACAGCGTTATTATCGCGCGCAAGATGTCATGGGCGATGAGCTGGCCTCGTCTGTGAGATCAGTGGTTGGTTCATGCGATGCATCGCGCATGGATGACTACGATCTTGCGGAGCCTCGGTCGAGGGTTCAGAGCGATACTGAGAGGTTCAGGGTCGACCTCCTGAATATCGGCGCGGGCTTTGAGGGCGAGGCCGTTGCGCTGGCATATCCTGGTGAAATTGACGTGAGGGGCTGAGGGGCACAGCTCTGGAGGCTTGGGAAGCAAAGTGAGGGGCACGACGGGCGCAATGGGCAGGCACATGGGCATAGCGAACCGGCGTTTTGGAAGCGCTTATACTGGCAGCGATGAGTCTTTGCATTTGGATCACGGGTCACGATTTCGGCCATTTGTATAACATTTTGACAAATCTTGGATGGATAGATAAAGGATGACATGTACAGCCTCTTTGTAGTGAGCGTATTGGGTTACAAGCATTTCTCAGATTGTACATTTGCATGATCGTACCCAGCCATGCTGTTTCCCATCTAGTAGAACAGCTCCTGAAGTTGATCTGACCTAACGTACGCGATGGTCGGATCCTGTGGTATCATCATCTGTCGCCGCCCCGATCGACCTGGCTCGGGATTCCACCCAACCTGGCAACTCGGTGTTGTGCAGACTTGGGCCCTTGCTATGTATCGACCGGCAACGTGTGATTGCGTGCAGAACTCTGGTCGGTCGGTGACGGGCTTTCGTTCCGGTGCCAGCCCACATATCAAACACTTCAGCTTGATTATGCGGCCAACATGAACGACGGCAGTGTTGATGAGGGTGTTTTTTTACTTAGACACTATCGGCTGTACCACCCAGCTACCCTGTGCGCTTCCCTGACTGGGACGCGCTGAGTTCGTTGTGGTTGGCTGTCTTGCTTTAGCGGCTTCTGATGGGCGGTAAAAATAAGTATTGGTTGTCTCCGCGAACATGGTGGGTCGGGAGAGAATCTTGCCGCTTGGGAAGGCATCGTCTGACTGTGCTGCCTGGATAATAGCTTGGTTGTTCAGGCCGTAGTTGTCTAAAGGCACGTTTTTGTCGTATGTTACTGTTCGTTGGTATCGTAGCGTCTTTCGGGTCGGCCTTTTGTTGAGCGCCTCTACCTCGTATGCCCTCTTCGTCCGTTCTGTTTCTGTGGCGGTCACGAGAGCTAGGGATGGAGGGGGCTGAGAGACTGTCGACTTGCTCTGGGTTGGGCTTCTTCCGCTCTTCTCGTGCGTTCTTGCTGCTCGGGCTTCGAAGTACCCTGCTTTGGTGTCTACGCCGCTCAATGCCGCAGCAATGTTCAAAGCTGCGTCGTACTGTCGACCGACTGCCGTGGTTCGGTTCCTTAGTAGATATTCCGGGTGCCAGGCGTACACGACGACGAACAGAATCTGCTGGGCGTTCTTGCGCACTATGCCCATGAGCGTCGTGCTGCCGCATGATAGTCGAACTGTGATATTTTCCACGTTGTGTCGCTCATGGAACCGCTTTCTGTTAAAGGCGCCAAATACTGGTAGGACCTTCGACAGCGACTGACATCTGTAGGCAAAGTCGTCATGCAGTTGTTTCACCTCCTCTTTCTACCCGTCGGCAACATTCGCGAGGTGACGTACGGACGCCGCGCTCAGACGGCGGAAGTACGCTTCAAACCAATAGGTGTTGGTCGCCACGAAGCCCTTCTCGATGAGGATTCGGATGCAACAGTTGGTCGCGTCTAGCATCTGACCGTCGTTGGGATGCTTTGTTGTGAACGTTGCGTAGTGTAGCTGCAGATGCAACTGGGAGGTCGCATATCCTGACGGTGAGACCATATGGGACTCTACCATGCCGCTTCGCCTCGCCTCTTCCTTCTTGAATGATTGGAATAGCTCGGGCATGTTGAAGCTATCCTGTCCGTACTCCAGGTCGTACTCAGTCTCTTCTAGGAACTCCCTGACCCCATGAGTTGTCTTGGCCAGAGCTCGCAGCACTTCTGCCCGCACTGCAGCGAGCCTGGCTTCCGAAGGAGCGTTGATGGATGCCGTACTCTCAGAATCCATGTGCGTGGCCCATGCAGCTATTTCATCTGGAGTCATGTCGTTCGTGTCGAGATAATCGCCGTCATCGAGCAAGATAGCGCCATGCTCTCCACCAGCCCAGGTGTCCTTTACGTTATCTGCCCGGGTGACGTCTTGCACCAACATGACTCGGTCATCCTCGTCTACCCATACGTCTAAATGCTGGGTCGTGCTCGCGACGTCGATGATGGCTCCTGCCTCGTTGGCCATTGTGTTGTCACTGGCGGCTGCCCGCGTGCCGTCGACGCCTGCATGCTGAAGTGGCATAGTCGTTGATGCTCGATCCCAGGCGAAGGCTGACTCGCTGGTCTTACTCGCGTCGTCGATGATTGCCTATGTCGCTGATTTCTGGTAAAAGTGAGCTCTCAATACGCCTGTAAAGGATCTGAAAGCGTGGCTCTAAAAGAATGCGAAGGCGCGTGTTGCAGAGTTGGTATAGACGCAGCAGCCTTGGCACTGAGTTGGTCACGGGATTGCAGGTAAAGGCAGGCCCCTGGGTCCAATGTGCTACCACGTGGCTAGCGTACCATTCTAAGGCTCAGTTAGACAGCCATAGTTGGGTCTGAAGACCTGAACCTCACCATCTCTCACTATCGAATCAAGACATCCCTGTCCAGGTGACACCTGTCGCGTTTGGAAATTCAGCAACGGACAGCCCGATAACACACCGACAACGATGCGACGATGTCAAAGCAACAAGAAACAGCAGAAGCAGCGCCCGCGAGGTCAACCTTCGTTCGAAGCGAGGGTGAAAGTCAGTCAACGCACGACGCAACGGTGTTCTTTGTAGAGGCGGACGATGCGAGCTACATGTTTGTCGGCTGGACAAGTGATACAGATGATTCCGAACGTCCGAAAGTCTACTAGGTACCGCTGCTATGGCAAGAAGAACAACTCAACAAGATCTCGTCACCAGTCTTGGGATGTAGAAAACCAGAGATTTCTCGAAACTACCTTCACCCAAGTAGATGCTTGGGATGAGCACATCGACCTCTCCAACACCCTCAAATGTGTCTTCGAGAAGAAGTACGCCGGAGGGTTTCCCAACAATGCGCTCAAGCTCAAGCTCCAACGCCCAACAGAGCCGAGCAAGCGCAAGTCCCAAATGACTAGGAATTTGGAAGATTGCGACGCAGCTGACGAGGTGGACGCGAAACGGCAAAGAACCAGGGAACCGAGTTCAGTCTCACAGACACCCGGCAACAGCGAACCTACCATCGAACGTTCGACGCTGTCACTGTCGCTGAACGACACTCTCGAGCGTACGATCGAAGCTCGCCGACAGTCAGACGAACAGTGCGGCAAGCGACAGGAGTGCCTCGATGAACGGAAGGCAGAGTTCGAACAACAGATGGCGTCATTGGCGTGGCTCGAACAAAAGGGGGAGGAGCTCCATCGAAAGGCGAAGCAGGCCCGACAGAAGGGGGAAGCCGACACTGACTACTCTCCTCGCCGCGTCCCACGTATGCCAGAGATCCACCAGCGACTTCGGGAACTGCAGCTTCCTGTGGGAGACGAAGAGCGTAGGGCGGTCGAGCCCCGTGTAAGGAGATTGAGCGAACTATCAGAAGCGCAAGCAAGAGATATTAGTTCCATGCGCAACTTTATCGAACGACAACGACGACTACTCGGTCGCGCTGGTACTCCTTCATGAGCAGGTATGAACGGTCGATGGCGGAGGACGAAAAGTTTCCCGGCGAGCTTTTGAGCTTTTTGAACATTCTTGGAGTTAGCCAAAAGTTATCTGATTAGTGTCTCGTTCTGCTTTACAGATACCGGGTTCTTGCAATCAACTATCAATTCTATACATGATCATACTCCAGATTGCGAAAATTGTCTGCCATTCATGACAAAGTGTCGTTCGCGAGGCGGCTACAGACTATGTTATCCCCTTTCCTACTTTCTAAACCCTGTGCCAGCTGTATACAACGGGCTGTCATGAGTACGTCCAACAAGGCAGCGAACGTTGTGTACCTCCCAGGTACTGTCTTGTTGCTCTTTCAGTGAACTATCGCGGCGTTGTCGACGGTACTCCAAAGAGCATTACGAAGGCTAGCTGTTGAGCCTCTAAGACCTTTATTTGCACACCTTATGCAAGTCTCAGTGCGACTTATCTCAGTGTCTAGGTCAGAGCGACACCTATGTTTCAACTTTAGACAATATTGAGGACAAAACACATACAACCCTACCTCCATAAATTGTCAATCAGCTTGTCATAAATGGGGCAATCAACGACACATCAATCAGTGCCTAAGACGAACAACCGCCGTTCAGCGCAGCCCAGCAGCCCAGCAGCCCAGCAGCCCAGCAGCCCAGCAGCCCAGTACCCCAACACCCGCTCCAATGTCAACACCAATCACTCTGCCTATTAGAGCAAGAACCACTTCACCAAAATTTCCGCCGCTAACCCCCCAAACCCTCTCTCAACACTTCCCCACCCTCCCCGTATGGGCTACCCAAGCATACCAAGAAATCTACCACGCGGTCCAAATCTTCAAGAGACCCCAACACGGCACCATAATCCCGCAACGCCGACTCTCACCCGAAACCCGCGCATTGCTCAACATCGCCATCATGCCTATGCCGGGCTACAAGTACGGCCACGACAAAGGGCCGATGTTGGATTGTAGCGTAAGCATACGGGAACTGTTTGAGGATGAGAAGAGCTATGAATGTGGGAAGGAGCAGGTTGTGTTGGTGAGATTGGGGAAGGAGTGTGAGAGGTTGTGGGTGGGGAGATGGGATGAGGATGAGGACGAGGATGGAAATGAGGATGGGGTTGAGGGATGGACGGGGGATGTTGTCTTGAATCGATAGTGTGGTATGGTGTATCGGGTAACATCCGTCGCTTTCATGATGCATGTGGTCTTGAACTCATACGCCAGGGCAGTGCGGTACATGGTGATGCAATAAACGAAAAGCACATGTATTGCTTGCCGCTGCTTCACTGTCGAGTGCACGTTCTTTCGAGGTCGCGCGAAAGATACTGAGATACCAGCAAAGTCAAGTCATACGGCGGTCGTTCGTAAAGTCAAGCGCCAGATTTGGATCTTTCAAAGTATTCAAGATCGATCTGATAAGATGAGTGTGAACAAGTGCCTGATTACCACGCGACGAGCAGTGTTGGCAGGAGCTACCCCTCATGCATCCCTGTCGCTTCCCGAAGTCATCCCTCTTCCGGACAAGCCTGGGCGCAATGACTCTACGTCCACGAACACTTGGTGCTGAGCTCTTCAGGTAGTAATCAACTCACCGTGAGATAGTCTGAGGTCACAACCAAGTCAGTCTCCAAAGCACAACCGCGGCAATGGCCACGTCACACCAAAGCCTAGACCACCTAATCCTCTTCGTCCCCGCCAACCCAACAACGCAACTGCCCGAAGTCCCTCCATTCTTCTCGGAAAACTTCACACTTACTCCAGGAGGCTTCCACGCTGACGGCGCGACATCGAATGTCTTGATTCTTCTCGCAGATGGGTGCTACATCGAACTCATCTCCTTCATCAACCCCTCCCTCGCACCCGAGCATTGGTGGGGCCCGGACGCCGACTTCGTAGGCTGGAAGGACTGGTGCCTGACCGACTCGCTTTCGCCTGAAAAGAACTACGAAGCGGTGAAGGAAACTCATTTGGAGCCGATCAAAGGTGGGAGGAAGAGGGCCGATGGAGTCGATGTAGCCTGGGCTGTCACTTTTCCCAAGGGGGAGTATGGTGGGCAGAGTGTTAGGGGCAAAGTGCCATTCTTCTGCCACGATCTCACTCCTCGGAGTGTCCGAGTACCACTTGACGAGACAAAAACCACTCATCCATGTGGCGCGATTGGGGTCAGCCGACTTACTATCATCGTGCGCGATCAGGCCCTGCTAGATGAAAATAGAAAAACCTACGACGCCGTCATCGGTAGTGCTGGAGAGAAGGTTGACGGAGGATTTGACTTCAAGCTCAGGCGCGTGCATGAAGTGGAGACTCGCGACACCGGTGCGAAGATTGCACTGCGCTTGCCAAAGAACGAGGAGGAGCTGGAGCGCGTTAAAGAAAGGGGATTCTGGTATGGCGACGTAGTCCTGACAACAAACGCAAAGGCCGGAAAGTTTGGAGGCTCCGCGGAGAGGCTCGATAGTGGAGAAAGAGATGGCGGGGTTGGCGGGGTGTGGCTCGAGCCTGCCTGAGCGGATGGCCACCCTATACAAGAAGAAAGCTGAACAGGCCTGAAGCCTACATCGACGTTGGATCATCTATCTTGTATGCTTCCATGTTAATGTAGGCTGCAGGCCTGTCCAGTTTTCTTCCTTGTTGACGTGAGTGGGATGTTAGGGGATCGAGATTGAGGCTGAACTTTAATCGTCGTATTTCGCATTGCCTGCTTGAGAAAACACATGTGCCGAAAGAAGAAGACCGCCGGAAGATGACAACCTTGGAATTGGTCTGGGTGGCGACGTTTGCTATAGCAAGGGACGCACCTGCATGCCGGCGAGATTGAAACCATGCTTGTACACACCCGTGGTGCTACTGTGCTGCGTTACCACAAAGCGCAGATCAGATCGTTATATCGCGCAGAAGCGCCATGGGCTTGTTCCTAGCCATGCAAGACTCTACTCGCATTCGCAGTCGGGAGGATTTATGGATGTGTAAAGTTAAAGGTTGCATGTGCCTTAGTGGCGCTAGGCCGCAACTGGGCAACCGAGGGACAACCCAAATTTGGCAGAAGCGTTGATTGGCGGGTGCTATCCGGTGGTATGAGAAGACTCGATCCACAAAAGATCGGATTTTGACCTTAGGTAGGAGTATAGTGATGCGCGTCTTTGTTCAGGACGTGGCTCGCTAACAAGGCGCAGCCTAGGAGACACACCATATGATGTCCGGTCACGATAAGGTTATACAGCACAGTGCATGACTCGGGTAGTTTGTCGGAGTGGACGTAGACGTGGACGATGAGGACGAAATTCTGGAGGCGTTGATACGGCAAAAGAAAGGTGCTGATACGCGGCGACGACACTGCCGACACGCCACAACGACCCAATCTTGGGTTCTTCGCTTACACAGTGCGAGATGTCTAGAGCGAGAGCAGTAATTCTACTCGGCGAAACTCGAATCGAAATTCTGCGGTGGGCGGAGCCAGCTCGGACGAATGATGGCGGGCACGTGTTCCAAGGTTTGCTTTGTGTGCTAACGTGACGAAGTGAAGTGCCGGCAGGATCGCATTCGAGGCAAATTCCATGTCGACCTGTCTGGTCGCGCATGGGAAATTGCCGTGATGCAGTGTGCGAGTGGGCAGCGACGGCGGGATGCCGCTGAACGGCGGAGGGGACGACCGGCAGAGGGGCCCGAGGGCTAGCGCCTGCGGATCTGGACCGACGTCTGCCCAGCTGGAGTCAACGTCGACGCCGTCAGTCCCTCTGCCCGCGCCCGTGGTCGAGGTATTCACTATACGGGGCGTGGCGGGACCTTCGTCTCGACACTCGCCCCGTGGCGCGCCCCTGCAATGGCGGCGCACGCAGCAGAACCAGGGCAAATGCGCGGGCACGATGAGTATTGGCCCTGCGGACTTGTGCACCGAAGCCAATCACTAGGAAGGCACTCCCGCCAAGGCGCAGCGTTCATCCCCAATCTTTGATTCCCATGACGCAGGCGGTTATTTTCATAAACACGATGCGAGATGCGCTGAGATGATTCTTGTTTCCTTACCACGCAGCGTGAGTTTTCGCGAGCGGCCCGATGCAAGACGACAGGCGACCTGGACCCCCTCCGGCTGGTCACCCCTCGGCTGGTCCCTACGGCTCGCAGTTCAAGGTCGCCATTCCACGCTTACCTCCCCGACGCGCCCCGCCACCCACCACGCCCAAGTCGCGCCAGAGGGACAGAGTCCAGCGGGCATGTCGCAACTGCCACAAGCGGAGTGCGTTGCCATTGTCCCCGATCACTTCATTCACTTTCTCACGACCATCTAACACACGCTAGAGATCAAGTGTAGCGGCGGCCTCCCCCGCTGCAACTACTGCGACAAGACCGACAAGAATTGTGTATACGAGCGCCCCAGGAAAGACCGTCTGGCGACGTCAGTTCCATCACCTGTTTCCGAGTTCTGAAATTGACTCCCCCAGTGCCAAAGACCGCAACCATGCCCTCGTCTCCGTCCTCAAAGACCTCAGCCTGCGTGTTAGCGACGATGACCGACGTCGGATTGAAGATGCCCTCCAGGATGTGAGTATACGACTTGCCAGCCCGGATGCCACTGCTCAAACTAATGCCGCCAAGTCAGATGACGAGGTCGGGTCGCCCGTCTCTATATCCTCTTCTTCGCGAGCATCCGTCCCCCAGCCCTTCACCCAACATTCGCGCATGCACCCCTTTGCCCCGTCGTCTAGCTATGTGCCACTCGGAGCGGAAACGTCGCCGACGTCAGATCAGTCGCCCCTGCCTCGCCTAGACGGTATCGTTCCGGAAGAATCTGGCGACGAAGACGGTGGCGAGCTGCCTAATGTAGTCGAAGCAGGCTTCTTGGGCCAGATCTCCGAAGTACAGTGGCTTCAGACGCTCAGAAGCAGAGTGCAAGCTCTCGATACCGTTCTGCTTGGCCCACCTGACACTACTGCGCCACTTTCTCAGCCACCCTCGCCTACTTTCACTGCCTCACCCACCTCCCTTGCCGCAAGCCCGCTCGAACACATTGCTCTCACCAATTACTATCTCGACGACGAAGGCATCAAACTCACAGACTGTGGGAATCCCTTTGAGCTGCCACCAGAGCATACTGCAGCACTGCTATTCCAGTGCTTCACCCAGACCATCCAAAGCTCCTTTCCCATCCTCCCCCCAACTATTGAGCACCAGCTGCTCCAATACTATACCTTGGTTCGGAACGGGCAGGCTATACATTGCCCGGAGAAATGGTTCGCGCTAGTCAACCTCGTCTTTGCCATAGGCGCCAAGTTTTCACATCTCATCCAGGCCGACTGGCGAGCTGATGAGCTGGATCACATCGTCTACTTATCGCGTGCCTTCCAATTGCTTAGTATGAATGACACAATCGTTGTCCTAACGACTCCGGATCTGCTCACAACGCAGGCAAGTCTGAGATGCTGATTCTGTTCGACTAAGCTAAACGTTTTAGGCTGCTGGACTGTTTGCGATTTACTACATGACTGCTGGCCATGTTAATCGGTACGTTCGCAATGATCTTCGCTTGTTGCCTTATCTACATCTCTGCCACTTGCTCCCAATCTATGTGCTTGCATGCTAATATCGAATCAGGGCTTGGGTAATGGTAGGCATGGCAATGCGATCGGCCTTTTCGCTCGGCCTTCACGTGCAACAAGACGATCAAACTGTCTCTGCCGCCCGAAGGCAGAGTATGGTTTGCACCTGGTGGAGTTTACATGCCCTGGAGAGCATGCTCAGTTCGATTACCGGTCGACCGAGCATTATACCCAACGAAGACATCACAACTCCACTGCCCAGTGCCGTGAATAGCGATCAGACCCAAAGCGTACCTGTGCCTAGCCTCGACTTTCTCGATGCCGATACCCACCTGAATCTCTTGACCCAGCAAATCATCTCCAACATCTACACACAACGTAGATCTGCGCCATCATGGGACTACGTCCAACAAATGACCATATCTCTATGCGAACACCTTGACAAGTGGGCATTTGAATACATTCCCCAAGTTCAATCAGAAGAACGGAACTCAGCTCGCATGCAACAACGCGACATCTTCTTGCTCAAACTTCAGTACTACCGACTGAAGGTTCTGACGACTCGTCCCTCACTTCGCCGAATTGAACGCTGCTTCCAAGCCGGAACCGATGACTTCAATTCGCTCGACCAGTCTGTGGCAGAGTCGTGTGTACAAGCGGCACGGGATGTCGCGTCGCTGTTGGCGAACGAGTCTAATGTCAGGAGTCTATACGAAAAAGGGCCCTGGTGGACAATTGTCCACAACAGTATGTTGACACTTCAAATCCCCATGTCACCTACTGACCAATTCATTACAGTCATGCAAGCTCTCGCCGTCCTCATGATAGCCATATCCTGCCCCGATCACTTTCGCGACACACACCAAGCGTCTGTGCACAGCACACGGCAACTCGTCACCTCACTCCGCAGCATGTGCGACACAAACATGTTGGCCTCCCGTGCCTACCAGGTCGTATATTCGATAGTCAAGACGTCAAAACCGTACGTCTGGGCCGATATAGCGGATGCCTTCCCGGATGAGGTCATCATGGTGCTGCAACAGCCAGCACCAGCAAAGGTGGATCCACAATATCTGCCATGGCCGGACAACGACCAACCATCCGAGGCTCTGTTCCGTTATGAAATGGACAACTTCGGTAACTACCACTTCCACATGTTATGAGAACGGGGGGTTACCTTTCGCGGAACAACCACTGCAGCACCGACTGCACACAAAATGATGCGATTGGCGATGGACCCGGGAGACTACCTCTCACCCTTGCGGCATCGGTGTCCAATTCGACGCTAGCGGCCACTTTGGCACAACGTATTCTTAAAAGGAACCCCACCTCGTCATAATCGGGGCCAAAAGTTGGAAACAGGACAAGTTCGCATTCTGGAACACGACCGGCTATGAACGGGACAACTGGATACGGACAAAGCAGCCATGTTGTATGTCTCTGCCAGATAACGCCCAACACTCGTCGCTACCGCAACATGACTTACGCGTGTTATACCCAAATACCAACTCGAACAGCGCTGTAAGATGGAGGAAAGATGCTGTATCATAGCATCAGCATTCGCTTGTGCGTGTCATATTATCGGCCCGCATCGCATCGACGCGTTGGCGGGATTAGGAAGAGGTGAACTACACTAGTACATAGTACATCGTTCACGGAACAGTAATAGCAGGATAGTAATAAAAAGCAGTATTGGTTCATGACCAATGCATCTCGTTTGATGCAACAGCGGCGATTTTTCACATGAAGGCATACTGACAGTGTCCACGTGACGGTTGTTTCATGCTGCAGGGATGCACGAAAGGGAGACTGTCTAGGTAAACCGCTATAGTCTAGACTTATTGCATTACTCCAGTCTTGCTGAGATCCAACCGGGCAAATCCAGCACAGAACCTCAAGAAAGTCTGGCAGGTCTCAAGCCAGCTCCTCCCGCAGCATCCCCCATCTTCTCAGTATCAATCTCTCCAATGACGCTCTTCAGCAACTCGGGCACAATCTGCGCCGCATCGCCTTGAAAGAACCAGTCTCCATCATATAGCCCTCCCGCAGGGACATCATTGGCGTCCATGTTGATAATGGCAACCCTCGCTCCCTTGCTGCGCGCAAGATCCACATACCCGGCGGCAGGATATACCTTCGCACTCGTCCCAATGACCATGATGAGATCGATATCCTCTTCGTCCTCGATAAATGCGTCAACATCCTCCATAACCTTCTTTGGTAGTATTTCGCCAAACCAGACTACCCCCGGACGTAGCAGGCCGTTCTTGCATTCGGGGCAATGGGGGAGGTGCTTGTAGTCGAGTTCTGGGATCTCGACGTTGATGTCTGAGATGTCTAGTTCGCGTGCGGCAAGTGCAGCGTTTGTGGTTGGGTCGGATTCGTCGGTCGGGATGGCGAGAGCAGGTACGATGGGATCGGTGTAGTTGTTCCGCTCCGAGTAGTTGCAGAAGAAGTCTGAGCACTTAAGGTCGAAGAGAGAGCCGTGCAGGAGTTTGAGTTGTTCGGCGGGGTGTTGAGCGCGGGGTGATAGGCCTGGGTGGGAGTGTTAGCTATGCGACTGCTAGGGTTTGGGTCGGAGAATTGGGTCGGAGACTCACCATCAACGTTCTGGCTCAGCGTGATGAATTGCTCCTTCTTCCTCGCCAGTTCGGCAAGTGCGTAGTGAGCAGGGTTGGGCTTGGCTTTGAGCGCCATGTGTCGTCGGTAGCTGTAGAATTGCCACACGAGTCCTGGATCGCGCTCAAAGGCCTGGGGAGTTGCTAGTGAGGTCGCGTCATGCGTCCTCCACATGCCTCCCGCACCTCGAAAAGTGGGCAGTCCAGAAGAAGCGGACAGTCCCGCGCCAAGTAGTGCCAGAATACGCGTCGACTTGCTCAGGTGTTGCTGGAAGCTCTCGAGGTCCTTGGGCGGAACGACGCTGGGTTGGGCGGCCGACGAGGCCATTCTGCGGATGATGTTGGGCAGCGTCACGGCGGTGGTGGTCTTCTTCGCAGACTGGGCGTGCGAAGAGGAGGAAGATAAGAGGCCGGGCGTGTCATGTGTGCGTTGTCTGTCCGACAGGCAGAAACGGGGGCCTGGAGGTGTTTGCGGGGAGGGGAAAGCTGCGGCGGTAGTGGCACCTGCAAGGTACGTCAGGCTCCCCCACCAGCGGCCTAGCGCCCACCAGGCCGGGAAACCGATGCCTCTTCCGCCGAAGCTTGATTCGCCCGAGCCAACCTCCGCCAACGACCATGACTTTTGCGACAAGATGGCTGCGACCGGCTGCACGCGTGCCATACCGGTGCGATGCTGCGAGACGCGTCGGGCGGGTGCAGCCCAGAGTCGGCGGCACGAGGGCGTATGCGGCCGCTGCTGTGCCCGCCGCTGAACTCCGATTTGGCCAACCACTCCATGAGACGCATCCACACCTACTCAAGGCTGGGGAAGGTGATGACCGCCCGAGCATCGTCTTACCCTCTACTAACAGGCATTGTAGTCACCCCCGGTATCACGGCACTCGAGTACCACCAACGCCGCGCCGCCCTCGCCAAAGAACTGCCCCCAAACTCGACCGCTATCCTCGCCGCAAACGACCTGAAATATGCGTCTGGCGCCGTCTTCTACAAGTTCCACCAGGACCCAGACTTCCTGTACCTGACGGGTTTCAGAGAGCAGGATGCCGTGGCCATAATAGAGAAACACGAGGATGGAGAACACACATTCCACCTATACGTCCGGCCCAAGGACCCCAAGGTGGAAGCCTGGGAGGGCCCACGATCAGGCGTCGAGGCCGCGGAAGACGTCTTCAACGCCGACGTGAGCGGCAGTGTCGACGATCTACCTCGTCTACTCCCCGACATAGTCAAGCGCGCGCAAGCCATATACACCGACCTCCCCCAATCCCGCGTATCGAAAAACCTGCTCTCACGGTACCTCGCCGGCGCAGAGCCCTCACGCACAGGCGGTATCTTCAATGTCTTCCGCGACGCACCCGCAAGCGTACGACCCCTCCGTCCACTCGTCAACGAACTCCGCCTCATCAAATCCGAAGCCGAAATCGCAAACATGCGCCGCGCAGGCCAGCACTCGGGCCGCGCCATCACAGACGCAATGCGGCAATCCTTTACTACGGAAAAGGACCTCGACTCTTTCCTCGACTACTGGTTCAAGCAAGACAACTGCGATGGCCCGGCATACGTCCCCGTTGTAGCCGGTGGCATCAACGCAAACACCATCCACTACGTCTCCAACGATATGCTGCTCAACCCCAAAGAACTCGTCTTGGTGGACGCGGGCGCCCAGTACGGCGGCTACGTCACGGATATTACACGCACCTGGCCTGTATCCGGCAAATTCAGCCCCGCCCAACGCGATCTCTACACCCTCCTACTTGCGGTCCAAAGATCCTGCATCTCGCTCTGCCGCACAGATTCAAACTTCACCCTCGATAAACTACACCACACGGCTTCCAATTCCCTAGCCGCCGGTCTAAAGGATCTAGGTTTCGACATGGATGCCGATGCTATCCAGACGCTTTTCCCACATCACGTGGGCCACTACGTTGGTCTCGATGTGCACGACTCCCCTGGTCTGAGCCGAAGTAGGAAGTTTGAAAAGGGCATGTGTGTTACCGTTGAGCCCGGTATCTACGTCCCCAATGAAGAGCGGTGGCCCAAATGGGCGCGGGGCATCGGCATGAGGATTGAAGATAGTGTTTGTGTGGACGATGAGAGTCCGTATGTCCTCACCACTGAGGCGGTCAAGGAAGTCGTCGATATAGAGGCGTTGAGGGGGACGGAGACGAAGTTGTAAATGGGAATCGTGATATCCGCTTTTGCTCTTTTGTGATGAAACGTGCTTGCCATTACTTGATGCAGCCCTGTGGTAGAGATAGCTACAGCAGCTCATCTGAAGATGAATTTGCTCACCAGCACAGAAGATGGTCAAATAGTCGGAGCTAATCGCACCCTTTCATCGCAGTTCTCACCAATCACGCACAGCAGAATCGCACTAGCGGCCCGCTCCAGGTTTTTCCCACCAGAGCAGCGGACAGCAAACCTACGCATCAACTCGCGGAGCTTAGCTCCAATGGAAACACCATCTTTGGCACAATCTCACCTCGAACCTACAGGTTTCAAGTGTCAATGAGCATCGCTGCAGTACTGAAGCACATCGACATAGGCCTCAACCTTAGCTGCGTACACCAACACCGCTATAACGTCATTGACGAATCAGACCTTGGTCTTTTCAAAGTTGCATGTTGATCAAGCCATGATTGAGCTGTAACAGCCATCAGCAGCCAGCCTACGTAATTCAGGTGAGGGCCTGGTCTGGTTCAAACGCATAATCCACGAAAACACATCACCAGTATCCAGAGATGGCATACCACGAATACAAAGCTCTCGCGGGACGTCACATCAGGCTTCTCAAGCTACCAGAGACTTCTCAATGTGAGGAACTTCTCATCCTCGTGGAAGTATCACTGGATGCGCCGCCTCCATACGAAACGATCTCCTATGTATGGGGCGAGCAAGATAAATCCTTTGTCTTCGACTTGGGCTCGGGGAAGTCGGTCCTCATCACGCCAACATTGCGCACTACACTTACGCGAATTCGTCCTCATTGTCAAACAGGCTACATATGGGTTGATCAGGTACGGCAATGTTCTACGAAACAGACAGAAGTGTCTTACTAACTCTATCGTGACATTCATAGTTATGTGTCGACCAAACAAGCATCCCCGACCGCAACCAGCAAGTATCTCTCATGGGAGAGATATACAGCAAATGCCAACGCGTACTAATCTGGCTCGGGCAAGAGACACCTTGTTCCGAATACATGTCCTACTACCTAAGCCCCCACCCCCCTCCAGAGATCCAACAAAAAACCAAACATACACCCTCATCAGCATTCCATCTATCACAACCCGGCCCTCAGTCCTTTGTTCGAAACCTCCTAGCCCTACCATGGTTTACCCGAGCTTGGGTAATCCAAGAAGCAGTCTTACCCACCCTCGCTTCCTGCTTCCTCGGCGCATTCACGTTCTCCATAGAAGATTTATGGGCCGTTGTAGTCCACTTTCGTAGTGCGGAACGGTATCTCACACGGAGGGACTATGTCAACTTACGCCAGCTACCGGGGTATTTGGTGCTGAACGAGATTATGCGATTGCGGATGCAGGCGCGGTATCAGCGGGGTCCTAGCCCCAACGAGTCGACGTGTTTCTACCACTCACTTTCCGTCTTCGCGCCGAGATCGAGAACGTCCAGTCGACATGATATTATCTTCGCTTTCCTAGGATTGCAGCGAGATCGGCGGGTTAAGATTCTGCCGGACTACGGCATGGAATGGGACGTAGTACCTTGCGTAGCCACCAAATCCATCATCGAAGCTACAGCCAGTTTGAACCTATTTGGACTGCTGCACCGGAAAGACGAAGAAGCGAGTCGGTGGCCAGTTCTGGCGTCTTGGGTGCCAGATTGGTCGAGGACGGCTGAAGCGGAACCGTTGGTTTTCCCGAGGAGTTGGATTTACTTTGATGCTTCTGCTGGGAGACGGCATGAGGTCAAGGCGGTGGAGGACCTTGACGTGTCGCATTTGGTGGTTACAGGGAAGATTGTCGGTGAGGTGGCGCACACGCTTGCGTTTACGAAAGGCCTTGCTGAGCCGCTCGCGAACCGTCATGGATGGGACATTTGCTCTTACCTCAATTTGCCACATCTGCACTATCTGTTGAGACAGATGTGGCGACAAGAGACGACTGCCCCGTCAATGGAGCGTTTGCTGAAAGTTATTCTAGCCGACGGTTCTTTCACACTAAATCAGAAGCTAAGAGAGCACTGCAGCGAAGGCCTACCAGCTTCTGATATAGACGAGCTAGTTTCAACGTAGTTGGCGACTGAAAACGCTCCAAAGGAGCGCGATGTGGTCACAATGGGTCGTTCCAAGAACGCTGATGATCTAGGCAAACGAGCGACCAGACTTCGCGATCATGCTCGCGTAGCTTGGGGCCGACAGGTAGTCGTAATGCGCGATTGGAGACTTGGGCTTGCACATCGTTCGGTCTGCGAGGGCGACTTGATATGCATCGTCCACGGTTCGAAAGTGCCCCTTGTGCTCCGTCGTCTTACTAACGGTTATTATCGCTTGATGGGCCAGTGCTACTTTGAAGGCGCTATGCGCGGCGAGGAAGTAAACTGGGATGAGGCGAGTGCAGATGAATTCGTACTTGTGTAAGCAGCGCTGCTGGTAGTGTTCATGTTTGTTGGTACTTTTCCTAGACAATCCTAAGACACGAAATCGTTGATTGAGTGATAGATTATTTATTAAGTATACACATGAAGTGCCTAATTAACTACTACTTCTAGTATGTGTAGCAAAGGAGTTTACCCTGAGTATCCAAAAGATCCCTCAACTTGACCGTCGGCGCCAACTTGCCCAGACCAACCTCAAAGTCCAGAGTAACGTTCTTGCCACTGTAGTCGAAAGGAATGATCGGGCCACCAACCTGGTGAAGGCGGTTCTTCAAGTCCTTCTGCTGCCACATCGAGAAGATGTGGTCGATGTTGCCGTGGTGGAGGTAGAACAATGGTTCACCGGGGCTGTTGTTCGCATCACCAGCCTGGCCCAATGCACCGCCAACGCCGAAGTGGCCACTGCCGTGGATGTTGGGGACAGAAAAGGTAGCCTCGCCCTCGACCGCACGGGCGAAGCCGGTGTAGTCCTTCGAAGCCATGACCTTATCGACGAGCTTCTGGTCGGCCCAGACGTTGATGAGGGTAGGGACGAAGTCGCGCTTCAGGCAGTGAGGCTCTGGGAAGTTGACCATGAACTTGTCGGGTGTGAAAGGTCCGTTGGTGACACATCCACCACCTGTTCCACCTTCAACACCAAAGGGGTTCGTCTCGGGTGTGGGGTCGACCTTGACGCCGTTACCGCCGAAGCCGGTATCTGGCTGCCAGATTTCAGAGTCGAAGATGCGTGTCGATGTGGGGTTTTGAGGCTCCGCATCTGCAGACCAGTTCCAGTAGGGTTGGCCGCCGGTGTAGCCGCATTCTTCACGCAGAGCCTTCTCGTAGGTCGCGACGAAGTAGCGGTGCCAAAGTGTGAAGTGACCGACCCAGTGGATGTCGGGTGTCTGGCTGCTGTGGACGGCTTGGAAGTCGTCGAAACGGTTGATAGCGCCCTCGATTCCAGAGATGGCTGGCTTCGACGCTAAGCACAGTACCGCGTCGATGTATGCCTTCTTCTGTGGGATTGACAGCTGCTTCCTAATAGGCAGGTGGTCAGCATAGTTTCAGAAGAGTTTCTGATGTGTTAGACTTACCATTCGTAGCGCTTGATGGGGTTCTTGCAAGTCTTGGCCGCAGGTGCAGGAAGAGCCGCTGCTACTGCCGACGAAGCGAGACAGAGCGAAGAGATGAGGACGTTGATCTTGACCATAATTGCGGTTGAAGTTGAAATGCGCAGCTATGTGTTTCAGATTGTTCGAAGGCGGAGTCTTGAGGTCCCTGGAGACTTGTAAAGATGGTGGGCGTCAAGCTTTATGTGCGGCTCGTTGTAGGCCTTATCAGACGCACTTTACCCGTGCAAGACCCATCGAACGACATGAACGCTATCAAAATTAGAGCAAAGGGCAGTGAGTGGCGAACGGACGTGAGCATTGGGAATAGAAACGGAACGTTGGACCCTACGCTGTGGGATTTGGAGCGATGTCCGGGGCCTGGAAAATTCCTGTATGCATGGCGATTCAGGAGACATGCAGCCGCGCCGCATGCAAGGAAAAGTCGAATGTGTACCTGCTAATCAAATGTTACATGCATTAGTGTGCGGCGTTGAGATCTGCGTAGTCATCAAGTTACTCAGATACCTTGCTGTACATATGCTATCGCAGGCTATGACTGTTCAAGCTCTTCTTCTCATGGGATGCTCTTATTGTACAACCCCATGGCTTTTCAGCGTCCGTTGGGCCTAAGGGAAATGTCCCGAGCGGAAGACGTAGCGTGGCTAGTGCATGTCCCGTCAAATGTAAGCTACCGAGGGCTTGGACGGCTCGTATTCCTCCCATGTGGCGCGTAAGCGCAGGCGATTGGTTCGGAGGCTCTCTACGCGGGAAACCATTATTGACGTTTCTCCTTTGAGTTCAACCATGCGCGCCCATGGTATACTACCTAGGTACCTAGACGTGGTGGCCTGGCCAGACCAGTTTGGAGCGGAAACGCACGTTCTGTGTTTGCCTAAGCATTGAAGAATACAACAATTCCGGATGATTGTGGCCGGTGGGCCGGTTTGGAGATTCCTGTAGGATTTACCTTGCATAGCCAAGAGGTCGTTGCCGAGATAGCTAAGATGGATGCGTGTTTTCTCCCCTCATCCTTTCGATTTTGTCGTGTTGGCGGCAACATGGGATTTCTTGAGTTCGGAACAAAGCAGCTGATATGAGGCGTATTGTTTCTTTCGGTGTTTTGCTGCCCAGCGCGTGTCTTTGCTCAAGCAGCAAAGTCGCTGCGACGAGGTATGTGGGCTAGGGACGGGAGAACCCTCGGATCGGTTTGGCCCGCCTCCGCGCTGCGGCGCAATCAACGTCTGAGTCGTGTGTTTAACGATTGCATTGATTGGAAGGACTCCAACATGCCCAGGTGTTCTTGTTGGCGATTGACGGGAAAAACTAGGGTCAATGGTGGCGAACGGGATTAGATGCTGGGAAGAGAAGGCACGGCACGGAGCTGCTGAAAAGCCCTGGTCTATGTGACAACGGAGCGTTCCTTCGTCCCAGGACCCTTCGTCTTCATTCGCGCTGCCCTCCTGGGTACCGGCTCTCGGCTGGGGAACGGGGAGAGCGCGCGGGTGAGTCCAGTTCCGCCTCGCAGATAGCCGAGGGGAGCTAGACTGTTTGGAGCGAAGAGCCGCATCACCAACATCCACCATGACCGAACGAGGACAGTCGCACCGAACTCGCAAATCCTTCGCACTCTGTCGCCCTCCAGCCGCTTCGTGTATCCAATGGTGGCTCGGAGACATTAGCCGCTGGGGACCGAGTTCATTCAGTCCTCTTGGAAATGCGGCATGTAATAACGAAAGGATTTGCAAGATGAAGCTGTTGGGTGATGTCGTTTCGCGACACGGCTGGGCATGTTCAAGGAGAAGTTGGCATCATTCATAGTCATGGTTCGTGCCCATCATGCCAAATCATCTTGATGTGAGTGCATACCAAAAACATGGCAGACGGTGGCTATGGTATCACTTGGGACAATGGCTCGCGACAGCCTATGTTTGTCATTACGACTGGCGTTCTACTTTTGTTTGCAACAATAGCGGTAGCTCTCAGGTGAGATCTCTAGATTTTTGACACATACGCCCATTGAACATTGGCTCATCTGTCGCAAGGCTTTACTGTCGCTTCACTTTCACACGGCACATAGGACTCGATGATAAATTCATGGTAGCCGCATGGCTAGTCTCTGTTTCTCTCGGTATTCAGAATGGTTTTCTTGTTAGCTGGGGAACTGGGTACGTAGGTCCATGTCTGAAGAATGGATGGCAACTGACAGTAGACAAAGTCGACACAATGACGACCTCGATGCTTCAATCATTTTGATCCCCACCTTCAAACATTGGTAAGATATATGTTAGCAAAACAGAAATCTACGACTGACTTTGATTCAGGTACGCGTATCAGCTCGTGTACCCATGGGCACTATTCTTCGTCAAAGCTAGCATCCTGGCCCTCTACCATCGAATCTTCACCCAAACCAAGTTTCGCTATACCGTGTACGGTGTAGCCGCCTTTGTTGCTGTCCAGACAATCGTTGTCACATTCGTCAACGTAAGTCATACGCTGAGCTGCCACATACCTCCCTGAGCCCACCACTGACTTCCCCAGGCCTTCGAGTGCGGAAAAGAGCCATGGAGGGCCTGGTCCCCCACCTTTCCGAAGGGATGTAACGATCTAGCCAAGACATATTTCTCGATGGCTTCGGTCAACATCCTCACCGATATCTTCATCTTGGTTATGCCGATGCGCGCTTTTGGACAGCTGAAGCTCCAACGAACCAAGCGATTTGCGCTCCTCGGTGTGTTCATGGTCGGCGGCGTAGCGGTGATTGCCTCTATCGTTCGACTGTACGCTCTCTATGTGTACGCTGTAACGGATGATCCACCATATGATGATGTGTTCGTAAGTACCAACCCATTCGAGACCCTGATGACCCATAATGATACTAACGCTGTAACAGATCCTCTTGCTCTCGCAAATCGAAGTGAACGCAGCCATCATATCTGCTTCCGCCCCAGCGCTCCGACCTCTTCTTACCAAGGCATTCGCATCCTCATCTCACAACTCATCCGGCCAATATCCAGTGTCCTACGGGGTCGGTGGACCGAACTCTAAGATGTTCAGCCGTACGGCTCGCACGCGTTCAAGGGGACAGATGGAGCTCTACTCATTCAATGGAACAAAAAGGGTTAGCAAAGCTCCGGTAGGGGACACCCGGAATACAAGTGAAGAGTCCATACTCGGCCCCGAAGGCATTACAAAGACTGTGGAAACAAGGATTGAGGAAGACTACTTGGGAGATTCTATACATGGAGGGCATGGTAGACATGGGGAAACCCAAGGGTATGATGGTGTGAGGCATAGCGATGTATAGTATCTATGGGCACGATCAATAGTCCTATAATGGAGTTCTACCAGTCACGAGACAGAGCGTGTGGAAACTTCGGTGGATTGATATTCAATTTTCCGATAGTGTCATTTCGTTTCTACCCACACACAAAGCCATATATCAGCGCCTGAGCGGACTGCGGAAACCCATGCTACCAAACTGGCTACCTCCCTTCTTCGGTGTCGTCAATGGATCCGGTACATCCCCACCATAGCTACCACTCACAGCCCTATGTCCCTGCCCACCATTCCCAACAGCCCTTCCTCCACTGCCCGGCGCCTTGAAACCCACCAAGCTGCCCTTAGCATAGACGTCATTCAACATCTGTTCCAGCACGCCCGCATCATCAAACTCCTGCCACTTTCTCCACAGCTTCAGGGCGGTTGTCGCGTCCTCGATCGAGTCGTGCGTGTCCTCTTGGATGCTCTCTTTGAGTACACACCAAGCCAGGAACTTCAAGTTTAGCTTTCGCTTGAAGTCTGGCTTGAACCATAGGTTGCTTGTGTCGACAACTTGGTTCTTGGGGACGTGGATGTTGATGGTACGGAAGTCGTTTGCAAGTGAGTGGCCGACGAAGACACATCCTAGATTGAGTAGCAGCCATAACTTCTTGTAGGCGTGTTTCAGGGATACTGGCGCGTGTGGAGAGGTTTCGCGGCTGAGGTCGCCCGGAGATATACCAGACCATTCGGTGAGGTAGTCGACAACTTGTTCGGTTACAGCGATGTAGTCATCAATAAAAGGAAGGCCTGCCTGTTCTCCTTCGCCGCGACAGACTGAGACACGAGCTAGGCCCTTGCGATCAGGACGAATGGTCTGGCGGGTGCCATCAGCCTTCATTTCAATCTCTTCGGCTTGGAGGCGAATGAACTCGGCATCGATAGCGACTGGGTAACCAGGGCGTGGCTCTTCTGATGGGTGTTGAAGTAGCTTAAACTTCTCCTCGGGAGGCGTTGGGTTAGACGACCACCACCTGTACAGAATGGAAGTGTCAAGGTTTTGCTTCCACGAGTCGTCGATCTTGTTACGGGCAGACTTCAGCTGGAAGGTCAGGACAGACGGAAGCTTCCAACTTGTATCGAAGCGCAGAGCCTCCTCTTTGGGAATTGGTCTCACTAGGAAGTCGTTAAAGAGATGCCATCTGTCCTCTAAATCCTCTTCTCGTGACGAAGGTGCGGTGTTGATGGTCGCTACCAGGTGAGGCTTCTGACGTTCGCCGCTGTTGATATCCGCGACAACTCCAACAAGTTCATAAACCATGATCTGATGTACTCCGCGTTGCAGGTGTAGCTTCAGGTCTTGGCCTTCGAAACAGTAGAATTGACCTTGATCTACTATGATCCCGATCTCTTGCGGAAGCCAATTGGGTGTCGACCACAACAACTTGGCTTCATGACTTTGTATGGCAGCGTTGAGCATCAGCACTCCCGGTACTGACTGTATCGTCTTCCGCTGTACCATCTGCTGATAACGGTTGCACTTTGTACACCAACCCCGAGTTTGATCTTGCCGCTCGACGCTGGCTTTCAAGATCTGTGAGAAGGTCGGACGTGCTATTCTCGTGTTCCTCATCACCTGCTTCGCAGGATATACGAGCTCATTGACGAAGTTCTTGCCTCCACGGATGGTTTCGTTGTTGCACTGTGCACATCTCATGGTCGCTTTTGCTTGGGTTTCCAGTACTTGATCCATGGCCGAAGGTCCAGTGTGCCCTGGAAGCATTTGTCGGAATTCTTCGGAAACCTTGTCCAACAGAAAGCGGTTGAGGTTCTGGATCATTGTGGTAAGTGCAACGTTGGGAGCAAATTCTTCAAGCAGATTCAGTGAGACTGCATTCGAAAGGCCACTGAAGGTCTTCAAGAAGTTAGATGCCTGGCAGTTGAGCCCAGCCGCCTTTTCGAGCATATCGATGAGAAACCCCAGTTCGCAAAGAAGGCAAGACTCAAAAAGGCATGGCGAAGCAGTGTGTTGCAGGGCAAGATTTCGTAGCAGCGGCGTAAAGCGGAAGAGTTGCAGAAGGGAATTGGCGTAAGAGTTAGTAATGTGAGTCTCTAGACCAGAGTAGGGTGTCTGGTTATAGTAGCTGGTGCCGTGTCAGTGCGTACGCGAATGATATTGTTGGGAAGACCTACGCAAAGTCGAAGTCATCAACACCGAACTTGCTGTACTTGATCTCCACGTTTCCATACATGGCTGGAACGTCTTTGCGTGTAACATCGTCGAGATGCAGGTCGGTCAAAGTCTCCATAGTCTCTGATATCCGGGCATCCGGCTCGGTGAAAGACTGCGATGCCCGAGCTTTCTCACTTAAAAACTTGGGGGCGGACAGCGATTCGCTCACTCTATCCACCTGCCGTGTTGCTTCAGCTTGGTTTCTGCGCTTCGTGTTGGGGTTCTTAGGGTTCTTAGCGTAGAATCCAATCTCGGCGCGCGTCATGTTGCTGAGTATCGTGCTATCAATCTTAGGCGGAGGGGCACCGACTTCGAAAACTAGATGACTAGGCCAACTCGAAAGCAGCTGTTCCTTGTAATATGGCATACCAACAGTACTCAGGGGCCTAGAAAAGGTGAGTAAAACGTAGAAATTGGCAATTGGTCGGACTTACGTGTCAGGGCTCCAGTCCATCTGTGGCGGCGGTGGGACATTATGATCTGCAGTCTCTGTTGGGTTGCTGTATTCTGGGAAGTGGACCTTGGTCGGAGAACCCCATAGGTGTATGTGCGAATTGGAATCTGCTAGTGCAATAGCCTCACCAGAAGGTGCCATTTCAAAGCCAGTGAGAAATGAATCATAAAAGTTCAGCTGCCGGAGGTTGGCCGAGTCGGGGTTCATGAGATCGATGACCTGCATCTGGCCGTTCTGAGAGGCGATGAAAGCTGTAGTAGACATGCGGGGATGCATGCGCACATAGGCTGCACCTGTGTGGAATGGGATGGGCGGTAGCTGCTTGAGCGTCTTCAAAGAGAAGACATTGGTGAATGGATCCAGCATATATGCATATTGTTGTCGCGGAGACCATCCGCATGTTGCGAGGAAATCGCCCTTTGCGTCCATGTCGTTGATGCTACCCGTATGACCTTCGAACACCTTGATGACGGCAAGCGAATTTGAGTCCAAGATATGGATGCTACCGGTCTTCGTGGCGGCGCAAAGGTACTGTCCAGCACGCTTCATGATCTTGTATTGAGCTTCGGCAGGGAGCTTCCATTGGTTAGTTCAGGGTATTTGATGAAGGCATGCGATATACCGTATGTGTGATGATGCCCTTTTCCACGTCTACTTTGAACATTTGCGCCTGGCATCCTGCGACAAGGATCTCGCGCGTGCCTTTGGACGTGAAGTTCATGCACGTCATCTCCTTGAACTCGGCGCTCCTATACGCTGATGGTCAGCTGCTGCCTTTGTGCGCTCTTTCCCCTTCCGCAGCCAACATACGTCAGGTGCCATTGTGTGAGTCCGCGGCGGTGGGAATAGTGAACGCTTTGTTTAGAGATGGAGAGAATCCCCTTCTCGGTGAAGAGGAATTGCTGGACGGGGCCATCGGGAGGCGCATGTCCGCGGTACGAGGTGTAGCGTTCGAGGTGAGGGCCGTAGAAGGACGTGACGCGCCCCTGCGAAGATGTCAGTCGCACGGCACCTGGCACGGGCCGCGTTTGAACGTACTCACATGGTTGTTTCCTGTCCATAGCAGTTCTTGTGTTGTGTCGAAAGCGAATGTCGATATGGGTACAGCGGGTAGGTGTGGTCCTGGGGACGGCAATTGAGCGATGGCTAGCTGCGCAGTGGTCAGTACGGTAGGCGTGATTGGCATGCCGTCGACTACCTACCTCGTCCCAGTCCGCCTCCATACTGAAGTCGCGTGTTGCAATCCAGTAGCTCTAGGGAGCAGCCCCGACATGCCTTGCGCTACGTGGTTGACGGACGCGTCGCGGTAGTTGGAGCATCGAGGCGTGGGGTGAGGCCGGAGCTAGAAGACGCGAGGATGTGTTCTGGTGGGACCGCGGGGCATCCGGGAACAAAGCCGCGACCACCGCCTTGGAAGGCACTCGGCGGCACCACGACTTCCGAGTAGGATGCGACTCTACACTCTTATACATGGCCATGGCACGGTGGCAAGTGATCTTGAACTTGAATATTTGATTCCTATGAACAATCCCCAAACGCTATTTGTCCGACCGACTACGTAAAAGACCTGGCCGCAGATGATGGTACGCACAAGAGTAGTGGCTCATGTACGCACGCACGAAAGGAGAAGGTAAAAGTGCATGTATCTTACCTGACAATGTAACTGGTCCTAGCCATACGTGATGCGGTGACCAGCGATGTCAGATGAAGTGGGTATCGAACGCCTATCGAGTCGTCGTGCTTAGTGAGTTGGCTCAACAGACGAGAGTGTGTACCGAAGAGTCATACCGAAAGATGCAGATGTCGTGGTCTTCGTGTGGACTCAATCGAGTAGTCGTGACAAGTTGGGACGAGTGCGAACTCCTGCATCAGGTTAGCTCCATCCTCTTATACAAAGCCAAAGCTTTGCTTCTCGATCAACAGTGGATCACTCCATGTAGCTGAGGTGTTTCTAGGTCTGAAGTTGGCCCAAAGGCAACGTAAGCAAGGGATTCAGAGTATCAAATGTTTTCGATCACACTTGTACGTACCACGGAGTATTCGTCGACCTCGCCTTGGACGGTCTAGAAGCCTTTGCGGTCGCCAGAGTACTCCTCGTCCTGGTCCGCGTCGGCCTTGTGGTCGTAACGCTGACGCTTGTGGGTTTCGGTCATGCCCTTGCCAGAGCCCGTGAAGCCGACTGTGAAGCGTTAGCCACGAGACACGGAAAGATTGCTGGGTTTACTCACCTCGACTGCCAGCCTCGGTACTGGTACGGAACATGGACTCCTTCTTAACAACGCCCTTCTTTTTACCCTTGTTCTGGAAGTCGGCCCAGTTTGACTGCCTCTTCTTGAGGATGC